CCCTCTTCTACCCAGTGTTTACCTTTTTCCATCACTATCCAAAAGAAAGCTGCTTTCTCTGATCTGAATATGCCACAAGGACTCAGAAGTAGCCACCTTGAGAACCATGATGTTTATAGAATCTACGTGAACGGAGAATAGCTGGAAGAACCAAAGAGGAACAATAATCACTGTCAAGGCACTGCTCTTCCTTTCCAGCAGAGAAAGAATAAGACGCAGCTTTTAGTCTTATGCCCCACAAATAGAACAAAAACCCACCCATGACTCCAAACCCAGCCATTCCTAGCAGTCCCAGAAAGTGGGAGTAGTCTCACCTGGCAGAAGATCCTCAGTAAGGATGGGCTAAAGGACAGCTCCTTTTGGTGCACCCCACTGCTCTGGGAGAATGGAGCAAACAGGCCAGAAACCCTCTGCAGGTCCGTTCTGATACGCACTTCTCCAAAGCACAATGCCACATAGCGTCTGCCCAGAAGAGAACCTCACTGCCATCAGGCTCATCCTTTCCATAGCACTCTCTTCCCCTCCCTCACATTCACTCTCTCATTCTCCCTAAAAATGTAGCTCAAATCGTGGAGGATAGTCTCATAGCACTTATCAATATGTCTCACAAAGATAGTAGCTTCCAGGCTAACCAGGAGACACCAAGCCAAGAACCCACATTCCTTCTTGGATTGTGAGGTCTCATTCTACAAACCAAAACCCAAAATATTCTCCAAAGGAAGGGTGAGGATATAGGGTACTCACGGCAGATCGTGGCTAAGGAGTTTGCTGGAAATCCACAAGCTATCAATTTCCTAAAACAGTACAGGAGAAAGCTTTGTACATTAGCTGCTACGTAATGCACAGGCAGCTTGACAAGCCAGGAAAGGTTCTAGGAAAAGAAAGAAGTGCTACAGCCCTTTGACTAAATACCCTCCATTCCATTTCAACTAGCTTCTCTCTTCAGCACTATATCCTGCTCCTCACAATGATGTTAGTAATTCTCTTTTATGGATAGGTTGCCCTGTTTCTCCTCTTAAATTAGAGCAGTAAGCTCTTCTATTTCCTGTTATCTTTGTTTTGTGCTTTACTTCTGTATCTTTTTTATGTGCCTTGGACACTGTGACTGATAAGCATTCTTAACTGAACAACTTACATCAATCCCAGTGTTCCCAAACTATAAGATCATCTTGGCAAAGAGGTGGCAAGACTGGGTTAACTAGGAAAGCCAACCAGAAATTTTTTTAAAAGGAAATTAAAAGTTGAAATTCAGCTGGATCAACCCCACACACATACCCAGGGAGTTCCCCAAGACTCACCACTGTTTGCTGGTGTTGCTGAAACTTAAGGCTGACATTCTGTATCCAAAAAAAGGAGCCAATCTTTAGCTCCGCCTGCAGCTTCTGCTGACACCACTTGGTGGCCAACCGGACCACAAGCCACCTGCAGAAAAATCCCTGTGAGTTCATAGGATCCTCTCCCAATAATGGCTTCCTTCATCCCTTGCTGGTCCTAGAAGCCCTTGCAAAGGGTCAAGTCCTGAAGACGGGTCTTCTGCGCAACTCTCTTGTATCCCAAAACACCACTCTGTCACATACATTCAGAACTCTAGCTCGGAGTGTCCTCTCCACCCATATGAAATCAGACAAACTAAACTCCACCTGCTAAGTTAGGGACAAAGGAAGAAACCCTTCAAATCTTTAGGAACCCCACAAGTAGGTCTCAACAGGAGTCGAAGTACAGGCAGCCGTGTCAGATGTGCCATTACACGCTCCCCAAAGGATCTCTGTCTTCGCCCTCCAGACAGGTGTCCGTAAGAAGGCACTGTGGGGGTCACACCCGGCCAGCTCAAATGCCGCTCTCCCCTAGACGGCCAGACCTGTTCCGGCTTCCTAGGGCAAGGCTGCAGATGCCCTCTGCGCTCGGTGAAGGGGACACCCAGGGGCATGTAGAGCAGGAAAGGTAGACCACTGAGTTAGGCTCCTTACAAACACCCACCCACCCCCCATCCCCCTATTCAGCTCCCAGGCTCAGCATCTCCTCAGGCCTCGCCTTCTCGCTCAGTCTCCCCGACTCCCAGCTCCTCCGCTCCTGCTCCAGCTCTGCGCCCCCG